AAACACTTCTACAAGACTATAACAGGTATGTTGTCTGGGCCGCAAGCTGTAGAAGAGTCTAAGCAGGAAATCACTTTAGATACAGAAGCTGGAGTGATACGGATGTTGAGCAGTGGATCAACCTGTTTGATGGCTATATCAGATAGAATGCAACTAGTGGAATCCAGAAATGATATTGATGAAAAGTTCTTGGCAAACAATTCAGCTTTGTCTTTAGGTGAGGTGACAAAATATGAACCGTACAAAAGAGGTTGAATTACAGACTTGCCCTTGTTATTGATACTATTAAAGATTCTCCAGAAGTCACGAGAGCCTAATTTTTGTGATGAAATACAAGATTTCATGATCTGAGAATAGCGGGCTTTGGCATTAGACAAAACCTTTTTACAATGGTTCCTAGCAGTAATAAACAGACGTCTGTTTTCTAGAGAATTGTTTTGCTGATAGATATGGAAGTAATAGTTTCAATTGGCAATTGCAGCAGCACAATGTGAGGAAAACCATGTAGAAGAGTGAGGCTTGACCTGGAATTGTAGAGAGGGAATAAAGGATTCCATGCCAGCCTGAATCCACGAAGTTATGTAAGAAGCACATTTGTCAAAAGGAAGACGAAAGATTTCTACCCAGGGGCCATCACAAAGTATATCACGGAAAGAGTCCCAGTCAGCTTTAAGGTAGTTGTAAGATGTACAATGATAGGGGGATTCTGATGGTAAAGAAGAATGAGATAATAGCTTAGAGAGACCAAACCATGATCAGAAGCACCTAAGGGTGAGTGTGAAGAAACTGAGCACTGACTAGGATCAGAAACAAGACATAAGTCGAGTAGAGAAGGTAAATGATTTGGGTTGTCTGGAAAGTGAGTTGGAAAGTTGACTATTTGAGTTAGGGATTGAGAAAGACAAAAGTTGTGGGCCTTAATGCCTGCAGATTCACTGACAATAGAGCCAAGCCATTCAGTGTGATGAACATTAAAGTCACCGACAACAACAATATTGGCTGATGGATAAAGAATGAGGGCTTCGTCAATATAATCAGAAATAATATCAAGAAGAGTGCAGTCTTGAGATGAGGGAGAGCGATATAGAACAAAGAGAAAGGTGATAGAGTGAAGTGGTGCTAAACGAAAGCACATAATAGAGTAGTCTGTGGATTCAAACATAGTTTCCCGACAAATGGGTGAATTCCTACAAATGTAAATGCCCAGGCCAAGCATGTGACTATTGGAGTCTTTACGAATTAAAGGAAGATAACCATCAACACTAAGATCACAAGATGAGACAGGTGAACTCAAATTAGTCTCACAAAGAGCAAGTAGGTCTGGTGAACTTTGCAAGAGATAAGACTCAACAGAAGAAAAGTTACTTCGAAGACCACGAATATTGGTGAATGATAGGTTTAGCGAACTTGGTGATGACTGTGGTTTTTGTGTTTTATAGCTTTTGTTACTTTATTCATTTTTAAATTTGTTAAAGAACATGACTTGAAACATAGATAATACTCAGTACACTGCTTTATAGCTCAAGCAATTGCCTCATTTCCACTAATAAACCCCAAGCCATAACAAAGGGCTCCAATGTGGCCTTGGCAATGTACACCAAAAGTACAAACAGGGACACCATCCATGCGCAACATGGCACTGTTAGTACTCTGATATTTTTCAGCTGTTGATGGAATCAGCCTCTCTGAGAGCTACCACAGAGTTCGGGGAAACCTGACTACCAGCCGGCCTCAGAACCATAAAACTGAGTTTTAGAGCTGTACCCTCATTTGGAGATAATAGAATGAGTTGCTTAGTCATAAAAACAGAGACACAAGCAAAACCCATCAATTGAGTCAAGAAGATCCAGCGTTCAACATCCTAAACTGGAAACAATGTATTAAAAATACATCTGCGCTAGCCTAATAGATGAAGAAGGGGTGTGAGACTGGTCAACAGATAGAATCTGTTTACCCCTTAAGTCTTTGCCTAGGAGGCCTTCTACAAGACAGCAGCCGGATGCACTTAACATCTGCCCAAGATGAGTATTTTTATCAAGACACCATCTCTAGCCTTTACTTAACCAAGAGCCCCAAGGCATGGGGTGTTTTATGTCGGAGTTTGTATCTCCTAGCCTTTGCCTAAAAAGGCATATCCTACAAGGCAGGAGGACATGAAGCAGATTGTACTGGGTTACATGTTACCAGTAGCAGAATAAACCTGACCTGACCAGCGATTTGATTATGCAATTACCTGACCAATGATTTGATTATCTCAAAAATATCCCAAGCGATTACCTGACCAATGATTTGATTATCTCAAAAATTCCCAAGATACACTATATAAAGCAAGCTTGTAGAGAAAACCAGCATGACAAATTTTATTGGGAGCTTTACATATATCAAGAGCAATAGCCTTTACCTTGATGCCTCCACCTAATGCACAATAGAATCTTTTAGTCACAGCAGTTAGCAAGTCAACCATTGAACAAGATGATTGAAAACTGTATTGATAGTCAGACAGTAAGTTATTTAACTCAAGGTGGGATAGTCGAAATTTGTTGAAAAACTCAAAGATCTTGCTAATAACAAGTAGAAGTTAATAAATAGTTAGAGGGGTCAGAATGTTCTTTAGAGTTATGAAAAATTGGAATCACAGATGTCATTTGCCAGTAGGCAGGAAAACAAGATTCAGTCAAGCACATATTAAATAACTTAGAGAGAATTAAAGATTTTTGTAAGACTATGACAGGAATGTTGTCTGGACCACAAGAGGTAGAAGAGTTTAGTTAAGATATGACTTAAGCAATGGAAGATTTGAAACTGATTTAAATGTCTAACAATGTGTTAACTTGTTTGACTATAATGGCAGGAATAGTATGGTCGTAAGATTCAAGATTCAAATTAAAAGAAAAGTTCTTTGCAAATAGTTCTGCCTTATCTTTAGGAGAGGAATCAAGATCAGTACCAAGAATTAGAGATGAAATGTTCAACTTAACTATGTTAATGAAACTGTTGAAGATTTTCCAAAAATCTCTAAAGCCTAACTTCTGAGATTAGCTTTATCCCAAAGAAGAAGTACAAGGTGAAAGATTTATAGAGATCATTGCATGGTCAAAATCACCTAAAAGAGAACAAGGAGAAACGGAACACAATCTAAGGTCATAGCCAAGATACAAATCAAGGAATGAAGGTAATTGGTTAGGGTAGTTTGGAATATAAGTCTCAAAGTTGACTATCTAAGTAAGTAATTGAGAAATACAGAAATTGGGCTTTAGTGCCAGATGGTTCAGTGTTGTTAGAGCCAAGCCATTCAGTGCGATGAGCATTAAAGTCATTAATAGCAACAATATTTGCAGAGGGGTAAGGAGAGATGGCATGGTCATTTTGATCAGAAATTACATCTAAAAGAGTGCAGTTTTGTAAAGAAAGAGAGCAATAAAGAACAAAGAAAGAGGTGATAGAGTGAATAGATGCAAAGCGGAAGTACATAAAAGAATGGTCAGAAACCACATAAAAGAATGGTCAGAGGATTCAGAATTGATTTCTTAATAAATAGGTGAATTGATGAGTAAGTATACACCCAAACTAAGCATGTGACTATTGAAGTCTTTGCAAATCAAAAGATAGTACCCATCAATACTGAGATCTGAAGAAGGAACAACAAATTTAAATTAGTTTCACAAAGAGCAAGCAAATCTAGTGAATTTTGCAAGAACTTAGATTCAATTGAAGGAAACTTACTTCAAAATTAACCAATATTTGTGAAAGATCTATTGAAACAGTTAGGTGGTGGTGATGGTTTCATATGTTTAATATTTTTGGTTGCTTTGTGCATAGTTTAAGTTTAAAGAGAACTTGATTTATTCAACGGAAGAGCCCAACACCCCAAGCAATTAGCTATGCAGTTGTCTCAGTCCTGCTAATTAACCCAAAGTCATAACTTAGGGCTTGTTATATGGTCTCGATAATTTACACTAAAAGTACTAACAGGGACACCATCAATGTGCAACATGGCACTGTTAATACTCTGATATTTTACACTTTTTGATGGAATCAGCCTGTCTGACAACTACCATAGAGTTTAAGAAACCTTATTACCAGTCATCCTCAGAACCATTAAACTGAGTTTTAGAGTTACCCTCATTAAGAGATAAGAGAAAGAGATAATGTAACAGAGGTGTACATTTATGTCAGTCTATTAGATGAAAAAGGGGTATAAGACTGGTCAACATAATTATACTGCTAACCCCTAAAGTCTTTGCCTTGACATCCTTCTAAAAGACTGTAGCTGAATGCAGTTAACATTTTCTCAATATGTTCATTTTTATCGAGACATTATCTCTAGCCTTTACTTAACCAAGAGCCCCTAGTTATGGGAATTTTAGCTAGATGCAGTTAACACCAGCTCAAAATTTTTATTGAGATGCTATCTCTAGTTTTTACTCAACCAAATGCCCCAAGACAGGAGAATTTTAAGTCAAAGTCACCTCTTTAGGTTGATGGGCATCTTCTTGATTTCTTTAGGTTGATGGTCATCTTTTTGATAATATTTGACTGAGGAATTTAATAGATGAGCTTGATGATTATTGACTGAATAATAATTGAATTCATTAGATGTTTATCTTTTTTAGCAGTTGTTTGTTTTTTTATTGATATTTTTAACAATTGTATTTTTGGGTTTTATTGCTAATTTCAAATAAACAAGTTTGCAAATTTTAGATTAAGCTTTTTCATGATGCATTATTTTACATATTTTTGATAATGGAATTTGAGGAAACAAACTTTTAGACAAGGCAATGCTTAATTGAAAATACAACTCTTCTTTATTTGTAGTCTGGACCCTAGGGTATAAATTACTTAAGATATATGAATCTTTTGCAATTTTATTAAAATATACAAACATTAGATTTTCAATTCCTAAAGTTTCAATTTTTTTTTCTAGTTTAAGTTTTTATTTTAATTTTTATTTATTTGCATATAAATGTTTATACTTACTTTTCAAAATTTTTTTGCTTAAGGCGAGAAAAATCAAAAATCGTACTTCATGGAGACGATAATGAGCCAATCATTTCAGAAAGTAAGTTTAAATGCTTTATTTATTTGTTCAGGAAAGGGATTCATCTCCCTAAAATAAATAGTAGCTTTTTCTGCTTGTAATAAATAAAGATTCTTAAAAAAAGAGTATAAAAAAAGTTCATTTAAAACAAGAATTTTTACAGACTTGATCTATTATTTAAAAGTATTTAATATTTTTTGTTTGTCTCAGATTTCATAAAATCATTAAACTTATAATGAAGTTGAAATTTTCTAGCAGTAGTTAATTTTTTTCATCATTAACTTTTTTAACTGGTATTTAATTTCTTGAGTTGAGTACTCAATCTCTTTAGGCGGGCGTACTCAACCTCTTTAGGTGGATGGTCATCTTCTTGATTTAAATGAGTAATAATTGATATCTTAATTGATCTTGATGATTATTAACTGAATGATAATTGAATTCTTATCTTTCAGTTTTAGTTTTTTTTATTTAGTTAAAACTAAATGCAAAATTCAAATTATTTATATTATTTATATTTTGGTTTTTGTATCAAAATTGTTATATAAAATTATATAATAATTGTTTTTACAGAAAAAGTTTTTAATTATGTTTTATTTTGCAGAAAAACATTTTTTATGTGGAAGGCGCAAACGCAAAGTGAAAAAATTTAAATCTTTTAAAAACTCACCTGTTGATGGTAATTTTTGAATTTGATTTTTTTAATTTGAATTTTTTTTTATATGTTATGAGTTATAATGTGCTGTGTATGCTTATGGATGTAAAAAAAAAAAATTAAAGCTATATAGTACACAAGAGTTTATCTTAACACATTCACACCGGCGTGTACCACCGGTGGTAAACACTAGACTGTCTCATTGGGCGGCGTGTACCACTGGTGGTACACACTAGACTGTCCCATTGGGCGGCGTGTACCACAGGTGGTTAAACATGAAAAATTGTATATAAAATTTAAGAGAAACATGCTAAACCGATATCTTTTGTTGTTTTGTAGAAATTTTATCTGATTTTGTTTAAGTATTTATGACAACAATCATGATGTTAACTTCAGTAACAAGAATAGTATAACAACATATTTTTAAGCATAGGTTGAAGTCAGAATTTTAAACTATAAGAACATTTATAACTACCAATTTTTCTACTCCTTTGTATTTCTGCTAAAAATAAAAATAAAATTAGTTTTTTTTTAAATTTTTTTTTTATTTTGTAAAAGTTTTTGTGTTTGCCTTTTTGTTATGTAGTTTTTGTTTCCATTTTGTAGTTTTTGTGTTTGCTTTTTTGTTTGTGTAAAGTTAGTTATTATTTGTGCTGCTGTTGCTAATTATTTTTATTGTTGTTCGCTGTTATTAATAAGTGTTTTCATTTTTTTTTGTCTTTAATTTATTATAGCTTAATCACTTTTTTAAAATAATATTGCTGTTGAATACAGCAATATTATTAGTCAATTCCGGCGGTCATACAGTTTTTAACTGTATTTAGTCGATTTTTATATTTCGAATCGACTAAAATTGGTATTTTGACCTCCCAAAACATATTCTTGCCAGTCATGGTTGACTGTTAGAAAAAAAATTAGAGTTTTGAAAAATGTTTGACAAGTAATCAAGATGTAATTTGGAAAAACCATATACTAAAATTTCATAATACCATTAAAATTTTGAAAAAGTGTTCAAAATAGTTTTATTGTTTATGATATTTTATATATTTACTATATCTATATATATTAACTATATTTATATATATTAACTATATCTATATATATTAACTATATCTATATATATTAACTTTTTTTTAGTTTTTTTTAATTATTAATTTTTTTGCTTCACCTATTTAGATTAGTTTCGTTTTACTGGTGGTGAAATTTTTTTTTCATAGATGATAAATTATGAAGAAATAATTTTGAAATTATAAAAAATACCCTTTATTTACCCTTAGTTCTTTTTGGAGTACCTTAACAAATTTAAAAAAAAAGTTATTGGAGATGGTTGTGAATTATTGTGAGAACTATCCAAGAAATTTAAGTTTTTTCAGCTTATTCTTCTGTAGACATTAGTTTTTTTGTATTTGTATTAACATTTATGATTTTAAATAAAGTGGATCTTTGCTGCAATGATCTACTGTATTACTAAAATAAACATCCCATTCATCAATTGTTTTCGACATTTAACATAGATCTTTTTCTTTTTCAATATATTTATTGACACGATTTGCAAATATAATTTTTCCTTGACACTTAATGTAAAGCTTACAGTTCTTTTTTTTTGCTAACCCACTCTGTCTCATTTGTTTTTGTCATTGGTTTCAATTCTATTTTGTGTTTTCAAATTTTTTTAAAGTGAGACACATTTCTCAAAATATTTTTAAATTACCTGAATCTTGATTTCACAATGGTTTGGATATTTAAGTATCCATGGTATTACCACATAGAATTTTTGTAATCAACATTATTTATGAAGGCATTGCAATGATGCTGACGTATAAGTTCAATTGTATTTGCTTTTAAATAACGTTTTTTTTATTTACTGATAATAAATTTTGTTCAAAGCTGATTAATTTATAGTTGAGAGTTTTTAAATAATTTTTTAAATTTATATTATATAAATTATATAAGTATGCATTTTTTATAATAAACATTATTAAAAAGTAAAGAATTTGTTTTTATTAATTAAGACTTGATGTTTTTTATGTATGTTTGTGTTCTGTCTGAACCTCTGGCGCGGTGTTGACTCACCCGTAAGTTGATTTATGTTTGTTTGTGTTCTGTTTATACTCTAATGAAGCGTGAGCTCAGTAACTAACTACTTACTCTAACTACAAAACGTACACTCACCTTAGACTCCTGTATTTTGTTAGATGCAGTGTCTTTCCTAATGCACTTCCAAAATGTCATGCCTGGTTTTCTCAAAGTACTGTTGCGGGAAGTAACTCCTTTTAACTACTCCAGGTCAGGTCAAGATAATCGAGATCAATCTTGCTACTGATGTCACGTAACCCAGTACCACCTGCCCCAAGCCCTACTGCCTTGCAGAGTGTGCTCTTCTTATGCAAAGGCTAGGAGAAATAAACTCCGACTAAAAATTCCCCTGCCTTGGGGCTCTTGGTTAAGTAAAGGCTAGAGATGGTGTCTTGATAAAAACACTCATCTTGGGCAGATGTTAACTGCATCCAGCTAAACATCCCCTGCCTTGAGGCTCTTGGTTGAGTAAAGGCTAGAGATGGTGTCTCGATAAAAATACTCATCTTGGGCAGATGTTAACTGCATCCTGCTACTGTCTTGTAGAAGGCCTCCTAGGCAATGACTTTAGGGGTAAGCAGAAAAATTCTGCTTGCCTGCTTGCCTACATTGTTTCCTGCCTAGGATGATGAATGCTGGATCTCCTTGATTCTACTCATAGAATTTTGCTTATGCCTCCTTGATAATGGCTATGCACCTCTTCCTGTTATCTCCATATAAGGGTACAGCTCTAAAACTCAGTATAATGGTTCTGAGGCCAGCTGGTAGTAAGGTTTCCCAAACTCTGTGGTAGCTCTCAGAGAGGCTGATTCCATCAACAGCTGCAAAATATCAGAGTATTAACAGTGCCATGTTGCGCATGGATGGTGTCCCTGTTAATGCTTTTGGTGTGCATTGTCAAGGCCACATAAGGAGCCCTATGTCACGGCTTAGGGTTAATTAACAGGACTGAGACAACTGCATAGCTCATTGATTAGGAGGCTGTGCTCTATCTATGAATGAGTCAAGTTCTCATTAAACCCAAATCGTGACCAAAGTAACCAAAAATTTAAAACCTAAAAAACCATCCCCACCACCTAAATATTTTAGTATATCTTTTACAAATATTCGCGGTCTACGAAGCAACTTTCCATCAGTTGAGTCTTACCTGCTGCAAAACTCACCAGACTTGCTTGCACTCAGTGAAACAAATTTAAGTTCTGCAATTCCTTCTTCAGATGTCAGTGTTGATGGGTACTATCCTTTGATTCGTAAAGACTCCAATAGACACATGCTAGGCTTAGGGGTATACATACACATTAATTCCCCTATTTGTTGTGAAATCAGGTTCGAATCCTTTGACCATTCTTTTATGTGCTTTCGCCTAGCACCTCTTCACTCTATCACCTTTCTCTTTGTTCTTTATCGTTCTCCTTCTTCCCATGATTGCACTCTTTTAGATGTTATCTCTGATCAAGTTGACCATGCCCTCTCTCTTTACCCCTCTGCCAATATTGTTGTTGTTGGTGATTTTAATGCCCATCACACTGAATGGCTTGGCTCTAACACCACTGATCCTGCTGGTACTAAAGCCTTTAACTTCTGTGTTTCTCAATCTCTTATTCAGATAGTTAACTTTGTGACTCGTTTTCCTGACAACCCTAATCATTTACCTTCACTCCTTGACTTATGTCTTGTCTCTGACCCTAGCTTATGTTCAGTTTCTCCCTTTTCTCCCTTAGGTGGTTCTGACCATGCAATGATCTCTATAAATCTTTCTTCTCGTACTTCTTTTTTGGGCTCACCTTATCATCGCACCACCTACTACTAACCTAAAGCTGACTGGGATTCCTTTCGTGATTTTCTTCGTGATGGTCCTTGGGCTGATGTTTTTTCTCTCTCAGCTGACAAATGCGCCTCCTACGTAACCTCCTGGATTCAGGCTGGAATGGAAGCTTTTATTCCTTCTTGTCGGTTTCAAGTCAAGCCTCATTCTACTCCATGGTTTTCTCCTTCTTGTGCGGCTGCTATATCCAATCGTAATCATTTTTTTAATCTTTTTCAAAAGAACAACTCTCTTGAGAACAAACGGCTATTTATTATTGCAAGAAATCGATGTAAAAAGGTGCTTTCTGATGCTAAACTCCATTATTCTCAGTTCACTAAATCTCGCATCTTATTGCAGAAGTTAGGCTCTAAAGACTTTTGGAAAATCTTGAACAGCATTGTTAACAAGGGTAGATCTAACATTCCATCTCTCATTCCATCTCTCATTCATGGGACTGATCTTATTACCTCTCCCAAGGATAAGGCAGAACTATTTGCAAAGAACTTTTCTTCTAATTCCACTCTTGAATCTTACGGACATTCTCTTCCTTCCATTCCAGTCAAACAGGTTGACCCATTGTTAGACATTCAAATCACTCCGGCTTCTGTTGCTAAAGTCATATCTCAATTAAACTCGTCTACAGCTTGTGGTTCAGACAACATTCCTGTCACAGTCTTGCAGAATTGTTCTCCAGAACTTTCTTCAATTCTCTCTAAACTATTTAACAAGTGTTTGACTGAGTCTTGTTTTCCTGCTTGTTGGAAAATGGCATCTGTGGTTCCAATATTCAAAAACTCTGGAGAAAATTCTGACCCCTCTAATTATCGTCCGATCAGTCTTCTTTCTGTTATTAGCAAGTTCTTTGAGTCTTTGATCAACAAATTCCTCACATCTCATCTTGAGTCAAATAAACTGCTGTCAGACAATCAATACGGTTTTCGATCCTCTCGCTCTACGGCCGACTTGCTAACTGCTGTAACTGAAAGATTTTATCTTGCATTAGATGGAGGCGGTGAGGCTAGGGCTATTGCTCTCGACATATCTAAAGCTTTCGACAAAGTTTGGCATGCTGGTTTTCTCCATAAGCTTGCTTCATATGGTGTTTCTGGGAAAGTTTTTGAGATTATCAAATCATTTCTTTCTGACCGGTTTATTAAAGTCATCCTTGAAGGCCAAAACTCTTCTTTATTTCCAGTAACTTCTGGGGTTCCCTAAGGTTCCATCCTGGGCCCTGTTTTGTTTCTTATCTACATAAACGATCTTTCTGACAACCTTTCATCTAAAGTAGTTCTTTTTGCTGATGACTCAACTTTATACTCCTGTCTTGACAAAAAGTCTTCTGTTTTCAATCGCCTAGAACAAGCTGCTGATCTTGAATCTGATCTCACTTCAGTAATAGATTGGGGTTCACAGTGGCTTGTGAATTTCAACTCTAAAAAAACCCAATTGCTTACTGCAAACAACTACCGTAATATGGTCAACGTTCCTATATTAATGAATGGCAATCCTCTTACTGAGTCGTCCTCTTTACATCTTCTTGGATTATCGCTTACTACTGACCTTTCATGGAAACCATATATACAATCAATTGCTAAATTAGCTTCTGCTAAGGTTGCTTCTCTTTATCGTGCTTGCCATTTCCTTACTTCTGATTCCATTCTCTATCTCTACAAATCTCTTATTCGTCCCTGTATGGAATACTGTTGTCATATTTGGGCTGGTTCTTCTAACGATTCACTTTCTCTTCTTGACAAGGTCCAAAAATGCATTGTAAATGTTGTTGGACCTGGACTATCTGCTAAGCTTGAACCTCTTTCCCATCGTCGTAAAGTTGCATTTCTTTCTCTTTTCTACAGATACTATCATGGTCACTGCTCAAAGGAGTTATCATCTCTAGTTCCATCAACTAAAATTCATTCTCGTTTTACTTGTCATTCAGCTAAGTCTCATTCGTTTACTGTATCTGTCCCTGCATGCTCTAAAAACTTTTATTCATCTAGTTTTTTTCCCCGCATTTCAATCCTTTGGAACTCTCTCTCATCTTCATGTTTTCCTGACTCATACAACCTTCAACTTTTCAAGTCTTCTGTCAACCGTTTCCTTGCTCTATAACTCTGTTCTTTTTTTTTTCCTAGTAACTCCCAATTTAAAAGTGGTTGCTTGCAGCCTTGTTGGGAGTGAATGCAAATAAAAAAAAAAAAAAAGACTTTCTTAGACAACGAAAGTTTCTTTAATGAACTTTGTATAAGTGTTATTTAAGTTGATACATTAAAAAAAATTTAAAACAACTTTGTTAAAAAATATATATGAATAATTTTGAAAGCAACATAATATATAAATATATATAAATAATTTTGAAAAATGTTTGATTACTAATGCTTTTATATTATTTCTTATGCCTTAATATTATTGAAACACTTTTTAATGAAGCATCAAAACAATGTCAATGATTATATATACGTGTGTGTGTATATATATATATATATATATATGTATATATATATATTTATATATATATATATTTGTGTATATATATATATATATATATATATATATATATATATATATATATATATATATATATATATATGTATATATATATATATATATATGCAAGCCTTCCCAGGAAAGGCGTGCGTTTTTTTTTCTCGTATGACCAGGAAAACTATATTATATGTATATATATATATATATATATATATATATATATATATATATATATATATATATATATATATATATATATATATATATATATATATATATATATACATATATATTTGTGTGTATATATATATACATATATATATATATATATGTATATATATATATATATATTTATATATATATATATATGTATATGCAAGCCTTCCCAGGAAAGGTGTGTGTTTTTTTTTCTTGTATGACTAGGAAAACTATATTATATTATATGCATTACTGAAAAATAATTTTAAATTTAATAACTGCATAAGAAATTAATGGATTATGAGTATAACGCTCTAAAGTAAACTTAAATAGAAAACAATAATAATAGTTTAAATAATTTTTGTGTTATTTTATGTTTGTTTTTTCTTAGTAGTTATTATTATCAGCAACAAAATCCATTAAGTCTAAGCAAAAAAAAAAAAAAAAAAAAAAAAAAAAAACGTTTTAGGCGTTAAAAAGGATGATTTTCCCATATTTTATGTGTTTTTTCTTTTAAAGAGAAAAGAAAAAATATGTATCGTCATTTGTTTGTAAAATATGTTGTATAATTATAATGTAACAAGTTTATATCAAGAGTTAAATTATATGATCGCGTTTGCAAACTCTGGTAAAATATTAGGTCTTTAAAATTTTAGTTTATGCTAAGCTGTGTACTTTGTAATAAGCAAATTATTAAAAGTTTGCGAGAAAGTTATAAAAAAACAAAAACAATAAACTTATGACTACAAGAGTGATAGTCACTGCATTAAAAAGTAACATAAAAGTAACAAAACTATAATAGTGTTAAAACTATAATAGCGAGAAAGTTACAAAAAAACAAATAAACTTATGACTACAAGAGTGATAACACATTAATTGTTAATTATTAATTACTAATAATTTCTAAATGCATAATTAATAATTAATAATTACTTATTAATAATTGCATAATTAATAATTAATAATTGCATAATTAATAATTAATAATTACTAATTGCATTATAAAAGTAATAAAACTATAATAGTGTTATTACATTTATGAAGCACTTATTACTTTTAAAGTTCATTCTTTGTTCAAACAAGATTATTGATTTCAAACATTTATTAAAGTAGAAAAGCATCTAGAAAAAATAAAGCGGATATTCAAATATTATTAAAAATTTCTAGAACTTTCACATATCACTTAAACAACGTTATAAGAAAGTACTTCATAAAAAGTATAGCATTATGAAAAACGTTATGTTAAAACGCGCGTTAATTTTAAAATCAACCAATATAAATTTTTTATTGGTTAATTTCAAAATTAACGCGCGTTTTTACGGTCCATTAGTAACGTTTTTCATAATGCTAAACTTTTAATACGATACATTTTCATAAGAGTTTTTTTGGAGTAAAAATTGTCAAGACAGACAACTTTACTCCTTTTAAGTTTAAGTCAATCAATTAATTTTTCTGTTGCTCATCAAAATCTGTGTGCAAAAGTTTCATTACATTGCTTTCATTAGTAAAGAATTTAAATCCATTTCTAACTATTGCCTGGAAAATATATTTATTTCTGGTAATTGCTCAAACTAAATGCTATCAGTAAACAAAATAGAGATGATTAAATTTTTGTTTGCAATAACAAGTTTTCAATAGTTTTTTATCTACACACTTTTTTATCTCCTGTTAACTGGTTCTGTTGTCTTATATAAATAATTGGACTTTTCAAGGCAGCCATAGAATATTACGCATTTTGTTATAATGTTGAAATGCTTACATTGTCCTTCCAACTCTTGAAATTGAATTTTTCTTGAAATTGAATTTTTTTGTTTGTTGCCAATCCAAGCTGATGTTGAATGGAAAATAAGGATGATGAAGAACCGCTTATAGTTCTTCAATATTCTTAAGTATAATATGTATATAAAATGTAAATAAAAAATTCACAACTTTTTCATAGGAATAAGTTAATTTCTTAAACTTAATGCAACTGAAATATCAAAATAAAGTTTATATGTTATGAAAAGTGCATGGAAAAAGTTTTTAATTTTTTGTTGCAATAATTTAAATTTAAATGAGGAAACAGTAAAAACATCCTAAAAAACAGCTGTTTGCTGTTTTTTAATTTTTAAATAACAGCTGTTTTACTGTTAATTTTAAACATTATTCAGAAAACCTACTTATTTAATTAAATTATATGGTTTTATCTTTTCTCAACTTAGTACCACCATTATCATTATGAACTCAATACTTTATCACCATCAGATGATATTTCTACAAAGCAACACCAAATATTGCTCCAGCATGTTTTTCTTAGAAGTTTCTTTTTTCCACTGGAAATATGTATTTGATTTTTTTATTAGTTAGAGTACTTAATAGGTTTTTATATTTTTTGTGATTATAACCATACATGACCCGTTACCTACCATTTTTATTTAACTATTTGTATGCATCTAAGGAGTTACCTGCAAACAAATAACTTTTTTTTCTTGGTTTCCTTAACTTTTATTTTAATTGATAAAAGATAACTTGTGAAATTAAATTTACTATTATAAATTATTACTGTATACTTATATTATATTCATTTTTATTATTATATATGTATATAACATAATATAAAATTAATTTTTTTTTTTACTTTAGATTTGTTATATAATTTATATAAATATGTGTGTGTAAATATATATATATATATATATATATATATATATATATATATATATATATATATATATATATAATATATATTATATATTGTATATATTATATATATATATATATATATATATATATATATATATATATATATATATATATATATATATATATATATATATATATATATATATATATATATATATATATATATATATATATATGTATGTATGTATGTATGTATACATATACACATATATCAAGTATATAAATATATATATATTTGATTTTTATAAATAATTTTTATATATAAAAGTTTTTTGGGTGTATTTTCATAATAATTTAATTTTTTTGTAAAGAAATTCTTACATATGAGGAGATGGTAAAAAAAGACCCAGATCCTGGTCGACGTAGACCTGTTGTTTTAATTGGTAATAAGACTTTTATAATTTTTTAAAAAGTTGTAAATGAATTTACTAAGCATGTTTCCATGGATACAAGTAATGAATCTGTAAATTAATTTTTAGGGCCTCCTCAAGTTGGTCGTCGCGAATTGCGGGATAGATTAATATCAGAAAATCCTAACAAATATGGACTTGCTGTGGCTCGTAAGTTAACCTCTGTTGAAAAAATGTTTCTTTAAACTCCCTTGCATGATCTCCCCTAATTAGTAGATGTATGCACTGAAACCCTCACAGCTCCTTAAGTCAGTTAGACATCAGAGTGGTAATCAACCTTTTTCTTTTTAAGAAAGTTTTTTTCAGTATTTATAAAAGTGAGGGGGAGCTCAGCAATTTAACTTGGATGGTGTTCATAAATATGGTATTTAGGTGGTTAAATTATATTGATACTTTCCTCAGTCAGTTTGTTATATGACAGAGTTGGATTAATAACAGACTTGTATTATATTATATCATCTACATATGATAATATATTGAGGTCTGTTATGAAAATAATAATATCTGAATTCCTTTGCTAGTAAACTGAGTCACTAGCAAATGAAGTCTCTCAAAATTTTTTTCTTTAAAATACTTTTCTAATCATTCCATCATATAACAGGGTGGCCACTAGTCATGGAAATCATGGAAATGTCATGGAATTTTATTTGATCATCGAAAAAGTCATGGAATTTCTAAATTTTCATTGAAAGTCATGGAAAATTCATGGAACTTTATAAAATTATCTTTATTTTTTTCTACTTGCGATATTTTTAGGATGCAAAGAAAAGTACTAGTATGTCTAGTCTAAGTCCTTTTTGAAAAATATATTTTTGCAGTGTAAGTTATCAGAGAAGTAAAAGAGTTTTTTTTAGACATGATTTCAGAACTTTCTGCCAATTAGTTTTTGGTTTGCATGTTTTATAATGATCAAGCTGCAAATACTTAGTACATGGCAAATACTTAGTGCATGGCAAATACTTAGTGCATGGCAAATACTTAGTGCATGGCAAGTACTTAGTGCATGGCAAGTACTTAGTGCATGGCAAGTACTTAGTGCATGGCAAATATTTTACTCTAGTGATTTGTCATAAAAGTTTATGAAGTGTCATGGAAATATCATGGAATGTCATTTTCAAATTTGAGTGGCCACTCTGTTATAGTTACATTAGTATTTTCCATTTCCAACTATTTTAAATAGACAGTGTTGTTTTTGCTTATGCTAAAAATTTTTTGTGACAGTACTTTATAAAACCTTTGTTTGTGACAGTACATTATAAAACCTGCGAAGTTTACAAAGACTGAACATCTGTGTGATAAATAGAAATAAATAGAAGTTAAGTCTCCCATATTATGTGGAGTTAAGTAAAATAAATGAAATGAAAAAAGATGTTTGAAGATCTAGAATACAGGAGAACTTCTTTCTCAAAAAATGTCAATATATCAATGGTAGAAACCTTATTGAAAAAGATATTGTTTATCGTATTAGCATTTCAGTTTCTTGTATAAATAGTTATACAAAAAACTGAAATGTATTCCTTTAGGAAGTTGAATCTTTTTAATTCTCTTTGAAAATGTAGAGGATTCTAAAATTATCTGTAATCAACTTTCAACCAATTGGAGTTTAGCCTCTAACCTCAAACATCATCATCATTAGTTATCTGTAAGTACTTTATTATATTAAATTAGAATGCAAAGTAAATTTTAGATTAGCAGTTTTTTGAAGTATTACCTAAAATTTGCTATATTACAAAAAAGTTATTAATCCAAGCCTATCATATAAGAAATTGACTGAGGAATTAAATAATGAAAATACTCATGTAACTGAGAAAACAAAAAGTTTAATACATAAGAAATTTTGATAATTTTAAAAATAATTGTAGATACAACTCGTGTCCCTGAAAGTGGCGAAATAGATAAAGAGGATTATATTTTTGTTAATAAGTCTGCATTTGAAAAGCTAGTGGATGCTGCTGAATTTATTGAATATGGCCAGTATTCTGGTCATTACTATGGCACCAGCTTCAACGCTGTTCGTAATGTTGTAAGAAGTGGAAAAACGTGTATCTTAAACATGAACTGCCAGGTATTTATACTTTTGTGTATTTTTTTTTTGTGCGTTTCGTTTTTAAATTGTTTTTAACTTAAAAGAACAGAATTGAGAATATTTTTATTTTGTAAATTTTTTCTTTTTCTTTTTTGTGTGTTCTAAATTTCATATACTTTTTTTTACAATATTATTTCTTTAAGTCGCTTCCAATTTTAAAGAACTCCAATTTACTTCCTTATATTATCTTCATAACACTACCACCAATAAATCAATTGAAGAGGTTGCGAGAATTCGATGACACTTGCGAACCTTTTAACCCAAATATTCGGCTAGAGGTAAATATTTATTATTTTTTGCTTCAAAAATATTTTTCTTATCATAATCATCATCATCATCATCATCATCATCATCACCATGTGGATCTAAATTCAGTTTTGCAACAATAATTTTTAACCTTCATTTTCATATAGTCACTGTGCGCAAATAAATTTTTTTATTTAATATGAGTTTTTTTTTTTTATTCTACTCATAAACTTTTAGAATTAAACAATTTTAAACTTTTTAAATGTTTTTGTTTTGCAGGGGTGTTTTTATAATCTTTCGGTTGCAATTCCGAAATATTCATTTTTTTATAAAAGGGGTGGGGGAAGCCAATTTTTTTTTTGGAGATGTTAGATATTCAGGCTTCCATAATCCGATAAATTTTAAAAATCCTTATTCTCAAGTTTGGGTATTTCTATTATCATAAAAAACTTTTAAGTTTAACTGGTTGACAAAAATATTGAAGAAATATTTTTGTCAATATTACTTGAAATCTTGAAAAAATGCATTTTTTGCTTCTAATAATGAGATGGATTTATTTTTTAATTTGTTGAGATTTTTTAATTTATTGAGTTTTTTTAGGGATCTATTTGATTTTATATGAAAATGGTTTAGTTTTTATAGTTTAATAGTTTTTTCATGTACTTAATGACGATGAAAGTTTTGAATGTGAAGTTATCGAATAAAAAGGTTATGTTATCAAACAAATTTTTGAAAATCTATTCATTGTGAGGTTAAATTAGTTAAATCTCACAAGCAAAACTAATTATGCTATTTTAATTCTAAAAGACACTATTTAGAAAATAGTTTCGATATGGCTATATTGTTTTCATGCATTCATTTATCAATTAAACCCCTTTAACCTAAGTGCCCCCCTTTCCTGCTGGGCATACTGTCAATGTTTTTTATGTTACGCTGGCCCACTATTATATAGTTGAAGCGCTTTGGCATGATACAAAAATTGTTTAAGTTGCTTTAAATCAGTTTTCTTGTTTTAGTGCTAAGATTTGGTTCCATAAAATCAGAACATTACTGATAAGTTTTTAAGGACAAAACAATATTGTCTAATATTGAATATTACTACTTATTCTTTTGATTTGTTGAGCCCTCTCTTTTTAAGGTATGTCATGGCTGTTTGCATTATGCTAGAATGCTACTGTGTAGTTTGAGCACTTTAGCATGACACAATAAATCTTTTTTGTTGTTTGTTTATTTATTCCTTGGTAAATACTCTGCGATCACTTAGGGTTGATAACCACATTACCAAAATTCCATTTAGTACGCACGTATGGTAGAAAATTAAATATCACTATTATATTATAGACTATTATATTATATTATTTATACACTTTTAACTACAAATAGAAACATATTGTTTTCTTTTTATTAATTATACACATCGCTTTGAAATATACGCATTTAAAGTCACTTATGCCTAGAAATAAAAAATAATACACAAACTACAATTATATTTATCTATAATTTATCAAAATTATATATATATATATTTAAACTTTGCAAAAAGATAAAATATAATACTTCTAATATAGTCATATTTAACAAAGTTTCCTAAAGTAATATTCAACAAAGTTTGTGCCTCAGGCACAAGCACTAGGGGGGCTCAAAAAAACAAAATTTTTCATAATGCTTTTGGGGTAGAGCGGAAAACTTGTCTCTACACATAAGTAACTTCTGCGCAAAATTTCGTCACTCTAGTACAAAGTCTTTTGTTCTGGTAAGGGACATAAAATTTCAAAAATTTATTTAAAAAATCTATATATTTATATATTTAAAAAAATATTTTTTAAACCTCACAGTACTTTGTGGTAGTGTGCAAAAAATGCACCTATGTATGGATAATTACTGTGCATAATCTCACGCCTTACATACAATATGTTCTATTCTGGCAAAGAGTCTGTAATTACCCACACAATTCTTTGTTGGTTTATTATACTTTTATTTTTTATTAAGTCAATTTTTTTTAATGTGATTTCCAAACCAAGTACATTTTTGTTCTATTATTATTAATTTTTTGAGACAATAACTTTTTGTATTATACACAATTATACAGTACATTAACATTTTAAAATTCAAGTTAAAAAAATTAATTTGTATTTTTTATGATTCTTGCACAAGTCGAAGTTGCTATTTTGTCTTGAAATTTTAGCAAAATATTTTCCAGATTATCATCATTAATTAATTAATCAATAATTATTTACAACTAAAAAATTATTATAAGTTATTGCTTCAGGTCGTGAGTAAGTATGCAAAAAAGGACCCATTTGCTAGTGCAAGAGATACAATTAATGAATTTTATCTAAATATTTCAGAAAGAACTGTAAGAAGATGGATAAAGCTGTGTTGTATAGTTGGATAAAGCTGTGTTGTATAGTTATCGTGCAGCAAAAAAACCATTTATATCTGCGAAAAACCGTATAACACATTTAGAATTTGCAAAGACTCATAAAAGTTGGAAAAAAGAACAGTGGAGAAAAATATTATGGTCAGATGAGTTTAAGTTTATCATAAATGGTTCAGATGGTAAAAGAAATTTTCGAAGGCCTGTTGGTAAACGATTATAACCAATGTACATCACATGTTACCTTTTGTAGAAGAAAACATGTCTCTAAAATAGACATTCCAACAGGATAATGATCCGAAACATACATTAAAACTAGTTAAAGCTTGGCTCGAAACTAATAAAGTTGATGTTATGCAATGGCCTGCACAATCTCCTGATCTAAAAACTTTTGAGAATTTATGGAAACAGCTTGATGGCAAAGTACCTTTGAGTGGCAAGTTTCGAAATGCAGAAGAATTGTATCAGGGACTTCATAGTGCCTGGTCACAGATAAAACAAGTTAAAATTGACAAACTATTAGACTCTATGCCTCATAGATGTGTTGAGGTTATCAATAACAACGGATATGCCATCAATTATTGATCCAATGTGTTTTTGGTGGTGTATTATTGAATTTTTTAATATATTTGTGTGCCTTTGAAGTATTTTTTGATGATTACATTTGATTAGTATGAGGATTTGTTAAAAGTTCCTTTAGTTATGGAGTTTGAATTAATAGCTTTTTGTTACTTTCTCCAGGTCTGTATTTGTAAAGGTGTTTGAATATATTTAACTTCCATAAAATAGTTACCTAGACAATATTATACTTAAATCAATACTTTTTTGTATTAAAACTAAAATAGTAATAGACCTTATATTTTTTATAAATTTCAACATGCGTTCCCTTAGTTATGGAGGACAGTATATATATATATATATATATATATATATATATATATATATATATATATATATATATATATATATATATATATATATATATATATATATATATATATATATATATATATATATATATATATATATATTTATATATATATATACATATATATATATATATATATTTATATTTATATATATATTTATATATATATATATATATATATATATATATATATATATATATATATATATATATATATATATATCAGTATTACTAAAATTTGAAATGTTAATTAACATCTTCATCATCAATTTGATATAAAATTGAATTAAGTTCAATATTATATCAAATTCACCTTTGACATAAGATGTGACATCTTATGTACTTTCTAATAAATTAAAGAGTACAACTTGTATTACTGTCAATTTATATTATCAATTATAGTAAATTCCTATTTGTTTCATAAAGTTTATCCAAATTAAGCCATGTTGCAATGAAGTTCATGTAACAAAGCTATTTTAAAACATAGCTATATTAAATTAAGTAAAATTAACTGTAACACAAATTCTACTTATTAATTTATTAGAAATTAAATCTACTTGACATCATATGACAACTATAATCACATTAAACACTTGTAAATTATATATAAAAAAATATTTAATAAATATAAAATTCATCTTGTACTAGGTTGGTTGAAAAGTTCGCGGAGCGGAAATGAAAAAACAATTTTATGATTCAAAAAATGACTTTATTCTTCAGTATATTCTCCCTTAAGAGCAATACACTTTTTCCAACGATTCTCCAATTCATGTATCCCATCTCTGAAGTGCGATTCCGGAAGGCCTTCAAAATACCCATTTACGGCTGCAATGACTTCTTCATGTGATGAGAAACGCTTTCCACGTAGAAATTTTTTGAGATGTGGAAAGAGGTGGAAGTCGGACGGAGCCAGATCTGGTGAATAGGGTGGATGTTCCAAGCGTTCGTACTTTAATTCAACCAATTTCGCCTTTGCAACATCGCTGATATGAGCAGGTGCGTTGTCCTGGTGATAAATGATTTTTTTATGCAGCAAACCAGGTCTTTTCTCACGAATTTTTTTATCCAACTGGTCCAAAAGATTTTTATAATATTCACCTGTTATCGTTTTACCGGTTTGAAGGTAATCTATTAATAAAATTCCTTTCGCATCCCAAAAAACTGATGCCATAACCTTCTTTGATGATTTTGACGCCTTCACTTGCTTCGGAGCTGAACAACCGGGTTCTGTCCACTCTGCAGTTTGTTGTCGCAGCTTCGGATCATAGTGGTAAACCCAAGTCTCATCCATGGTTACGAATCGACGCACAAAATCTGTTTTATTCTTTTGAAAACGGGCCAAATGTTCTTGAGAAAGTTTTACTCGAGTGCGTTTCTGATCCAGAGTTAGCGAATGCGGTACCCATCTTGCCAACAGCTTTCTCAGACGTAATTCATCGTGCAAGATGTGTAATACCCGTTCATCTGAGATGCCCACAGCCTCAGCAATTTCACGTTTGGTCAATCGTCTATCATCCATAACCATGTCATGCACAGCATTAATCGTTTCTTCAGTAGTAGCACTTTTTGGACGTCCAGAGCGAGGGTCATCTTCAAGGCTTGAACGCTCACGTTGAAACTCCGCAGCCCATTTGCATACTGTTGTTTTTGAAGGAGCATCATCACCCAACACATTTACCATTTCATTATGAATTTCCATGGGCTTTAAACCTTTTTTCACAAAGAAT